AGGGGGAAGGGAAGCATCACGGGCTCTAGTAGAAATTACCATTAGAATCTGGAAATCCTCCAACTGACAGCCATGGGCATTGGATCAGGCCCCTCGTCTCTGCTGGTTTCTATTGGCAACTCTTATTTTCATTTGGAGGATCAGTAACCTCAGAAAGCAATAGACCAATAGATGCCTTACACTGTTCCAAAACCTAGTTGTCCAGCTGAATTAATTGAAGATTTTCAACTCAAATTCTACTAAGGGTGCTCCAATTTTGGATGTGTGCCAGACCCTAGGGAATAAGGTGGCTGGTAGGGCCTCAAGTTCTTTACTTCCCAATTATAGCCTTGACTTTTGCCTTGCCGACTGATACTTTCTTATGCTTTGACAGAAAGAGAGTGTATGAGAGAGACATTGTGAGAGAGTGAACGGGAGAAACAGAACAAATAAAAATCAAAATTAAGGCTCAAGATTCAGCCAGCAGCAGCTTTTCTGGCTGAATATCCCATGCTATAGTATGTCTTTAAATGCATGATAGAGTGGCACAGCCTGCCCTTGATTACAGCACTAAAGGAAGCAATAAAAATGGATTTTATGTACTTTCCAACAGCAGATGAGAAATTATTTTTATATAATTATTCCCAAACTAAAAGTATTTGTATGAGATAAATGATCATGTGAGGAAAGCGGGGCTTTATGACAATGCATTTGTCCATGAGAATAGAAATGCACTGCAAATAGTCTGTGCACAGTCATTACATTTGGAGACTTTTATAGAAACAACCTTATCTCATTCCAAGGACACAAATTTGTCAGCACACCGCACCACAAAAATGTCAAGAGAATGCTGTGTATTAGCTTGCATCCAAAGGCATCCAAAAGCACTGCACTGAAGGAAACAAGCCTGGCAGTATTATAAGAGTGGGTATTCCTCAGCCTCGGGGCTCCATTACAGAACAATGTGTATGTATGTGTACTGTGTTAATGAAGTTTTCAGATGCAATTGTACCTACCACAAAGTAGATCATGCATTTGTGTGCAGTGCTATTTGGGGCTAACTATTTTTGTGCTTTTTTTGTATATTTCCAAAGTAAATTAATTCCCACAAGATACAGAGCCTAATGATGTGACGATATGCTTCAAATGCTGGAATACATTAGATTATAAGAAGGGCCTATGGTGATTTGCTAATTAACTTACCCCTTTTGGGACATTAAAGAAGGAATTTTTTTATTAAAACAGGATAACCCTGGACTATATTGACCCTGACTGAGAAATGAGTATTTTAGTCAAGATAAGTACATATAGGAACTGGGGCTGTTGTTACCATAGCAATGCCAGGGCAGCCTCTGGAGTGAAATAGCATGCTGCCAGGAAATGAAAGGAGTCCAAGTGCTATGATCTGCATAGTTGTGTGAGCAATCCAAATACATGCTCATAAAGAATATTTAGTATGGTTAGATCATCCAGAGATTGCTACTGAAGTAAAGTAAGCCTTATCAGTGTGCTTCCAGCAGTTCTATTTTCTTGTTCACCATCTCCAAAATAATTTATCTAAAGGTTCAAGCTATAGGCAATACTGCTAAGCCATTTCAGACAGAACATTAACAAATGTAGCAATCTCTGCCTCAGTACTTTCTCAGTACAGAATATGTATAATTAAGGATGCAGTCTCTCTCTCTCTCATGCAAACAAACATGTTAAACCTCTTAGCAAAGAAAGAAGAAGATATACTAAATTCCTCTGAGGTATGACTTATTCTGCCCGCACCAAGGTATGATTTGCAAACAGAGAGAAAGGTTTAAGGATGCCTTGCAATTATTTGATGGAAATGTATCAGCCAAACCGCAAAACTTACTCAGAACTTACTTGTCTGCCTTTCACCAAAATGAAAATAATGCTAATGAAAACAATTATATTTTACTTACTTGTCAAAAAATTACTTGTCTCAGGCAAGCATCCAAGTTGAATTTTGCAAGATTGGTTTAAAGTATTTTCCAAAATGAAAACAAGCCTAAGATCTACATTGGCTTATGATTCTATTTTCACAGAAATGAATAATTCTCACTGATTTGTAAAGCTGCTGAAATAATGGCGGCAAACCATTTTATGTTAATTTCAAATAAAATTCTACAAATCAAACCTTCCTACTTTCTTTTTAAAAAACTCATATCAGTGCTATGCTGATAGCCTTGATGGAATACCACTGCTTCTCCTGCTCTTTTATGCAGCCCATAAAGATGTTCAGATGAGTGCAAGTGTCCAGAAACTCTTCTGTTATATTTGTTGTTTGTGTCATTGTCACATCCAGCCTCTTGGGCAAACAGAATGTAGTTCATTATATGTAGCAGAGCTGCATCAGAGGGAAAGAGTAAGACATAGGCCTTGTCTACACTACAAAATTAGGTCGAATTTATAGAAGTTAGTTTTGTAGAAAGCGTTTTTATACAGTCGATTGTGTGTGTCCCCACACAAATGCTCTAAGTGCATGTAGTCAGCGGAGTGCGTCCACAGTACTGAGGCAACCGTCGACTTCCGGAGCATTGCACTGTGGGTAGCTATCCCACAGTTCCTGCAGTCTCTGCCACCCATTTGAATTCTGGGTAGAAATCCCAATGCCTGATGGGGCTAAAACATTGTCGCAGGTGGTTCTGGGTACATATCGTCAGGACCCCCCTTCCCTCCCTCTCTCCTTCCGTGAAAGCAAGGGCAGACAATCGTTTTGCGCCTTTTTTCTTGGGTTACCTGTGCAGACGCCATACCATGGCAAGCACAGAGCCCGCTCAGCTAACGGTCACCGTATGTCTCCTGGGTGCTGGAAGACACAGTACTGCGTTGCTACACAGCAGCAGCTCATTGTCTTTTGGCAGCACACAGTGCAGTATGACTGGTAGCCATCGTCGATGTAGTCCAGAGTTCTCTTTTAACTGACCTTGATGAGGTCAAGGGCACCTGAGCAAAAATGGGAGTGACTCAGCAAGGTCATTACCCTTTGACCCTTTTAAGTTTCGTCTCATGGCGATTCAGTCCTGCCAGCAGTCCTACTGCACTGTCTTTTAATGAGCAGCCAGGAGATGACGACGGCCAGCAGTCATACTGCACCGTCTTCTGCCGAACACCCAGGAGATGACAATGGCTAGCAGTCGTACTGCACAGTCTGCTGCCAGCAAGATGTATAAAGATAGATGAAGTGGATCAAAACAAGCAATAGACCAGATTTGTTTTGTATTCATTTTCTCCTCCCTTCCTTGCTCCCTCCGTGAAATCAATGGCCTGCTAAACCCAGTTTTGAGCTCTATCCTTGAGGTTTTGAGTTCTATCCTTGAGGGGGCCATTCTGTTTCTCGCAAAGCCACCCCCTTTGTTGATTTTAATTCTCTGTAAGCCATGTTGTCGGTCACCCCTCCCTCCGTCAGAGCAACGGCAAACAATAATTTCGTGTCCTTTTCCCTGGATTGCCCGAGCAGGAGCAGACGCCATAGCACAGCAAGCATGGAGCCCGTTCAGCTCACCACAGCAGTTATGACCATTGTAAACACCTTGCTCATTATCATGCAGTTTATGCAGAACCAGCACCTGAAAAACCAGACGAGGAGGCGACGGAAGCACTGTGATGAGGACATGAACACACTTTTTTCTAAAACCGCGTTCCCCCACAATTTGGAGATCATGGTGTTAATGGGGTATGCTCATGCCGTGGAACGCCGATTCTGGACCTGGGGAAACAAGCACAGAGTGGTGGGACCGCATAGTGTTGCAGGTCTGGGATGATTCCCAGTGGCTCCGAAACTTTCGCATGAGGAAGGGCACTTTCATGGAACATTGTGACTTGCTTTCCCCTGCCCTGAAGTGCAAGAATACCAAGATGAGAGCAGCCCTCACAGTTCACAAGCAAGTGGCAATAGCCCTGTGGAAGCTTGCAATGCCAGACAGCTACCGGTCAATCGGTAATCAATCTGGAGTGGGCAAATCTACTGTGGGGGCTGCTGTGATGCAAGTAGCCAACGCAATCATTGAGCTGCTGCTATCAAAGGTAGTGACTCTGGGAAATGTGCAGGTCATACTAGATGGCTTTGCTGCAATGGGATTCCCTAACTGTGGTGGGGCTATAGACGGAACACCTATCTTGGAACCGGACCACCAGGGCAGCCAGTACATAAACTGCAAGGGCTACTTTTCAATGGTGCTGCAAGCACTGGTGGATCACAAGGGATGTTTCACCAACATCAACGTGGGATGGCCGGGAAAGGTACATGATGCTCGCGTCTTCAGGAACTCTGGTCTGTTTAAATGGCTGCAGGAAGGGATTTACTTCCCAGACCAGAAAATAACTGTTGGGGATGTTGAAATGCCTATAGTTATCCTTGGGGACCCAGCCTACCCCTTAATGCTCATGAAGCCATAAACAGGCATCCTGGGCAGTAGTAAGGAGCTGTTCAACTATAGGCTGAGCAAGTGCAGAATGGTGGCAGAGTGTGCATTTGGATGTTTAAAGGGTCACTGGCACAGTTTACTGACTCGCTCAGACCTCAGCGAAACCAATATTCCCATTGTTATTGCTGCTTGCTGTGTGCTCCACAATCTCTGTGAGAGTAAGGGGGAGACGTTTATGGTGGGGTGGGAGGTTGACGCAAATTGCCTGGCCGCTGAATACGTGCAGCCAGACACCAGGGCGGTTAGAAGAGCACAGCAGGAAGCGCTCCACATCAGAGAAGCTTTGAAAACCAGTTTCATGACTGGCCAGGGTACTGTGTGACACTTGGCCAGGGTACTGTGTGACACTTCTGTTTGTTTCTCCTTGATGAAAACCTGCCCCCTTGGTTGCCTCTAGGCCAGGGTACTGTGTGACACTTCTGTTTGTTTCTCCTTGATAAAAACCCACCCCCTTGGTTGCCTCATTTCCTGTAAGCCACCCGCCCTCCCCCCTTTGATCACAGCTTGCTTGCAAAGGAAATAAAGTCACTATCCTTTAAAAAACATGTATTCTTTATTAATTGATTATAAAAATAAGGAGAGAACTCACAAGGTAGCACAGGTGGGGTGTGGAAGGAGGGAAGGAAAAGGCCACTTTAAAACTTGTTGAATGACAGCCTTCTGTTGCTTGGGCGGTCCTCTGGGGTGGAGTGGTTGGGTTCCCGGAGCCTCTCCCCCCGCCGCGTTCTTGGGCGTCTGGGTGAGGAGGCTATAGAACTTGGGGAGGAGGGAGGGTGGTTAAGCAGGGGCTGCAGTGGCAGTCTGTGATCCTGCTGCCGTTTATGAGCCTCCACCAGACACCGGAGCATGTCCGTTTGATCCCGCAATAGCCCCAATGTTGCCTCATTCCTCCTGTGATCTTCCTGCCGCCACCTCTCCTCATGTTGATCAGCCACTTTCCTGTACTCTGCTATTGTGTCCCTCCACACATTCTGCTGAGCTCTGTCAGTGCTGGACGACTGCATGAGCTCAGAGAACATGTCATCGCGCATGCGTTTTTTCCGCCGCCTTATCTGAGAAAGTCTTTGGGACGGAGGAGGGAGGCTTGAAACATTTGCAGCTGCTGGAGGAAAAAAAAGGAAGTGAAGTATTTAAAAAGATACATTTTACAGAACAATGGCTATACTCTTTCACGGTGAACACCACTATTCACATTTACATAGCACATGTGATTTTGGTCGCATTTTGCATCTTATATTGAGTGTCTGCAGCTTTGGTGTTAGAGATCACATATGCAGTGCCAGGCAACAGAATTCAGCTTGCAGGCGGCCATAGTAAGCCATAGTCTTTCGGCTTCTGCAACCTTCATAACAGCAGCGCCCTCCTCTCCCATACCAAGCAAAGCCCGTTGAGTTGGCCATTTAGTGCTGCGGTTTTCCTGTTAACGTGCAGCAGCAGAAACCAAACTAACCCCCTTCCCCCATCCAGTTATCTGGGATGATTGCTTTACTCCTCCCCCAACCACCTGGCTGGTATCAGGGAAGATCCCTGCTAGCCAAAAGCGAAGAGCCCAGCGCCAATGTCCCCCCTCCACGTGGCTAACTGCGGGGAGGATTTCTTTTCAGCCACAGGCAAACAGCCCAGTAGGAATGGACACCTCTGAATGTCCCCTTAATTAAATTCCCCTATTTCAACCAGGTTACCATGAACGATATCACTCTCCTGAGGATAACACAGAGAGATAAAGAACAGATGTTGCTTGAATGCCAGCAAACACCGGGACCATACACTGCCAGGCTTTGTCATGCAATGATACCAGATTACTTGCTACTAGCATGGCGTGGTAAAGTGTCCTACCATGGAGGACGGAATAAGGCTGCTCTTCCCAGAAACCTTGTGGAGATGTCACTGGAGGATTTCTGCTCCATCCCCAGACACGCTAACAGACTTTTCCAATTGCAATACTGGCCATGAATGTATCCCAAGTCCTCAGGGCTACTTAATCATTAAAAAACACTTGCTTTTATAACATGTATTATATTTAAAACGGTACACTCACCAGAGGTCCCTTCTCCAGCTTCAATGGGTTGGGAGGGTATTTCAATCAGGGTGATAAAAAGATCCTGGCTGTCGGGGAGAACTGTGTGCTGTGTGCGCTCCCCAAGCTCGTCCTCCTCCTCCTCATCTTCCCCATCTGCAAAGTCATCAGGCATGGCAGAGAGTACCCCATCATCGGAATCCACGGACAGGGGTGGGGAGTGGTGGCAGCCCCCCCTAGAATTGCATGCAGCTGAGTGTAGAAGCAGCATGTCTGGGGCTTTGTCCCAGAGTGTCCGTTTGATTCTTTGGTTTTCTAGTACACTTGTCTGAGCTCCTTAAGTTTCACGCAGCACTGTGTTGCGTCCCTGATGTAGCCTCTGTCCCTCATGGCCTCTGAGATTTTTTGAAATGTTTTGGCATTTCGTCTTTTGGAACGTAGTTCTGATAGCACGGATTCCTCTCCCCATCCAGTGATCAGATCCAGTACCTCCCATTCGGTTCATGCTGGAGCTCTTTTTTGATTCTGGGACTGCATGGTCACCTGTGCTGATGAGCTCACCTGGCCAAACAGGAAATGAGATTCAAAAGTTCCCGGGGCTTTTCCTGTACATTGGTCAGTGCATCCGAGTTCAGAGTGCTGTGCAGAGTGGTCACAATGGTGCACGGTGGGATAGCTCCCGGACGCCAATACCTTCAAATTATGTCCACACTAACCCTAATTCCAAACGGCGATGTTGATTTCGGTGCTAATCCCCTCATTGGGGAGGAGTACAGAAATCGGTTTTAAGAGCCCTTTATATCGAAAAAATGGCTTCGTTGTGTGGATGGGTGCAGGGTTAATTCGGATTTAACACTGCTAAATCCGACATAAACTCGTAGTGTAGACCAGGCCAAAGATGTATCACTGCCAGATCATTTATTAACAAATGCCATTTCAGGCTAATATATATTCAATTCATTAATTTGATGTAATTGGGCCTTGTGTACATCATGTATTTGATGTGCTCAGGCCACCATATTTTGCTTTGTGTTCATTCACGTTCCATCTAGCAAAAAGGTGGGAAACAAACCAATATCTTTAAAATTGTTTGACTTTACTGACTTTAAAAGAGTCTTCTGATGTGCATAGCAGGCGGCATTGAGCCCAGTGGTATTAATTTATAATTTAAACTTTATGCTTGGCAGAATTTCTTCTCTTAATGTGCCTGGTCCTAACTGCATCATGCAACACCTCATGCTTTACCAAGACACAATCCACCTAAAAAACCAGACAGTTTTATATCAGAGATGACTGTTTTCTGCAGAATGGAAAGGCAGGCAGAATGACATCTAGTTATTGGTTCCTTACTCCTTAATGTGCCAGACCGAAATCTCATGGAGACAGGTGCACCTGCACAAATGCATATGCAGGCTGGGTAACTGTATGGACAAAAAATATTCTCTCTACAGACTGCAGATCTAAAACCACCTCTTCCAGTTGTCTTATCCTTCTTTTACCACCATGATGGGGGTCATCTACAGCTAATTCAACTTCATTATGCAACTCCTACCTAAAAGGTACTTCAGAGCAGCCCTGCTCCAAGGCTGAACCAACCAGCTCCCCTTAATGAATATTTCCATCCAACCACTGTCCAGCTGCAGGAGTCAATCCACTATCTGCTGGGACTGTACACTTCAGCTTCTTCCCCTTTCCATTTGCCAGAGTCTCTTCAGTCCCTTTAATCTATTCCCAGCCCAACCACTGCCTAATGTCTCTCACTACCTGTACTCATGCCAGCCTGTCTCCAAGTTGCAAGACCTCTCCCACTGCAACCCATACAAACAACAGTCCCAAGCCATCCTGCCTCCCACATGCAGGAACTTTTCTATACCCCAACTACTTCTTAGAAATGTACTCGGTTCCCCCCACCCCACAAACCGAGTACACCTGGAAACTGGAGGCTCTATCAGGGAATCGTTTCGTGTTGTAAGGATTAAATCAATGGTTCAACTAAAAACTCTAAGAACTTCATCAATTATCTGTAAATATTTTGCTGTGAGGGTTTGTGGATGCACGTAACACAGCTCTCACAGCAGTAAGTGAATACACAGGAATAGCAATGCTAAACTCCTGAATGATGGTATTAAATCTCAAACAGCCTCGCTTTCAAACTGTTCTGTCTCTGAGACATGCAGGAAGTTATGTCATAAGAACAGTCTGTCTTTCAGCTTTTTCTGATCATTCAGGCACCCCCACAAATACACACACACACCCCCTATGGATTTTATGATGTATCTTTGGAGGGCCAAGCATTTTTGAAAACTGAAACCAAGTTGTTTTTTATAATGAGGGCAGCTGTACTGAGATTTAATGATGCTGAAATCTAAAATAAGGTGGTCTCTCTTAGGCAATTCACTTAACATTTCTGCCTCACTTAACCCATCTCTAAAAAGGGAGTAAAATACTTTTTTCCTTTCTCTTAGGCTGTTGTGAGGATGAATTAATATGTATAAAGGATCTGTAGATAAAGCTGTACATACATGTGAAATATTATCCGGGACCATACTCGGACCATGTAAGTTCTGATTATATCACTACTTTCATTGTAACGCTTCTATTTTCAGGGATTTACAGATATCTTGGATTTAGAAATTCACTCGGGGCTGATATTTAGTCTTAACGCTTTTAGCATGGGAAATCGCCTAAAAAAAATCAATCTGGACATATTTAAATATAATTAACATTTAGGTTATTTTAAAAGTTAACCAAGACATTTGTGTTGGAATTCTGTATCCTTTACACCAGACTTGATGTAACACAAAGGATTGCCATTAGCAATGCAGTTAATGTCTTTCCTACATATTTTTGATTATGCAGAGTAACTGTTCTGAATACTCTACATAAGAACACCAACACCGCTATACTGGATCAGACCAGTGCTCCATAACCCTGGATTCTGCCTCTGACAGTGGCCAGAAACAGATACTTCAAAGGAAGGTGGAAAGAAGAAACCACATAACTGGCAATTATGGAATAACCAGGGGTTGGAATAAGGGGGAGCAGAGGACAGCTCTCCTGCAGATGCCTCTCCAGTGGGGGTCCTCACGAAAGAGCCTCCACAGGATTTTAATGGGAAGAGGGCATGCAGCAGGGGACCCAGCTATGCTCTGTGGCAATGTCCTCTGCAGAGCCCCCATTTCCAAATGGAACCCAGGATGGAGTTAATAGAGCTAGGAGTAGCCACACAGGGACACAGCTAATGGCAGTCTAGGTCCTGAAGGAGGCAGGAGGAGAAGGAAACCCCTGATAAGTCCCTGGGATTCAGTACCCCAAACTCTTGTCCCCTTTAGAGGACTATTTCCAGGAAGTTCCTGCTCCTTTGCCCTCTCACAAGTACAGCCATGAGAGGAAGGCAGAGGGGCTAGTGGCAAAGCTCAAATTTTCCCAAACTTGAGGGAAAGATTGGAGGGGTTTGGTGCTGGGCTGGCTTAGGTTTATATCCAGTACTTTCTAGTCACTCCTATTTGTCTGGTAGAAAGTAAGGACCAAATTCATCCATGATGTAACCACACTACCTTCAAAGGGAAACGTTACATGCTCAGCAACTCTGAACAATCAGGCCCCTTTTATTTAAGCGCCTAAATATAGATTTAGATGCCTTATTTTAAGTAACCAAGTCTGGAAATTTTGGCTCAGATCCTCAAAGGTATTTAGGCTTCTACCTTCCACTGAAATGGGCCTCTCTCCCTAGTTCTACTGGGCCTGAGCTAACTCTCATTAAAGCGGTTGTAAATATGTTAACTGATTTTAATGGTATATGAATTAAACCCTTAGTAAACATATAACCATATAATAAAGACACCAGACAATCTGGCACAATTTGACTATCTCTGGATTGATGCATGGAGGCAGAGTTATGTGGGGAAGTATGCACAGAAATTGTCAACACAATGCTAGGCTCCAGGCAGTGCAATCAGTCTCTCATTCTCCCAAGCAATGGAAATTAACCTCCCAACCAGAGAACAATAGAAAAGACTTTAAAAAGAAAATTGAATGAAAAATGTTTGAATAATAGAGAAGCTGTGACAGAAACTGACAGATGCCAGATAATTCCATTGGATTCTATATCCTGGCTTCTGTCATCTAGTGTTACAGCCTTAATGATATTTAACCCTGGTTTTGTATTCAAACACAATTATTGCAGGGGATGGGATGCATGGGTTCCCTATTCTTTTATTGGGGATTTGTAATAACAGACTGCATTATAATTTTGTGATGCAATGCCAACACTTCAGCAAGGGCTTTCCATCAACATTTTCCCTTTTTGCTTGTAATAAACAACATGCAGTAGAGGTGCATGTATTGCATAGAGGAGGGCCGGTGGACAGGGGAATTATTTTTTCCATTTAAACAAAAATGTACTCTCATAATCATAATCAAAGAGGGAGGTGGCAGTGCTTGGAAATCAAATTCAGATGGAGCTGCACTTTGCTTATATTTTTCCTGCAACACACTCTTTGAGTAGGTTGTTTTTTCAGGATACAATTCAGCATGCCTAATCTGAAGAGGGTCTGGGGGATGAAGGCCTAAATGGGAGTTGGAGATATCTTCTCTGGGGGCATTTTATATTGCACCTGCCATTTGGTGCAATCTGGTCCATTCCAAAACAAAAACAAACCAAAAAAATAAGGACCTTCTCTAAAGCACACTGAAGCTAATGGGAGTCTACCCACTGACTTTAGATTAGGCCCCACAGATGATTTAGTATGAAGAGAGAGGGTGTAACTCCATCAAAGAACAAGGAAATCATCCCAAACTTCCCTTTGTTGGTAGAAATGTAACTCCTCACAGAGATCCTCTGCTGACAGATCACTGCCTTCACTTCCAATTCTCACAGACTTATATAAACACCCACAGAAATAGCATTTCACCTGCATTAATAATTTAAAAAATTGTAAAAAATCGCTAATGTAATGCCAATATTTTAAAAAGACTCTAGAGGTGATCCTGGGAATTACAGACTGGTAAGTCGAACGTCAGTACCGGGCAAATTAGTTGAAACAATAGTAAAGAACAAAATTGTCAGACACATAGAAGAACATAAATTGTTGGGCAAAAGTCAACATGGTTTCTGTAAAGGGAGATCATTTCTTATTAATCTATTTGAGTTCTTTGAGGGTGTCAGCAAACATGTGGACAAGGGGGATCCAGTGGACATAGTGTACTTAGATTTCCAGAAAGCCTTTGACAAGGTTCCTCACCAAAAGCTCTTATGTAAATTGTCATGGGATAAAAGGGAAGATCCTTTCATGGATTGAGAACTGATTAAAAGACAGGGATCAAAGGGTAGGAATAAATGGTAAATTCTCAGAATGGCGAGGGGTAACTAGTGGTGTTCCCCAAGGGTCAGTCCTAGGACCAATCCTATTCAACTTACTCATAAATGATCTGGAGAAAGTGAGGTGGCAAAGTTTGCAGACGATACTCAACTGCTCAAGATAGTTAAGACCAAAGCAGACTGTGAAGAACTTCAAAAAGATCTCACAAAACTAAGTGACTGGGCAACAAAATGGCAAATGAAATTTAATGTGGATAAATGTAAAGTAATGCACATTGGAAAAAATAACCCCAACTATACATACAATATGATGGGGGCTAATTTAGCTACAGCTAATCAGGAAAGAGATCTTGGAGTCATCGTGGATAGTTCGCTGAAGACATCCATGCAGTGTGCAGCAGCAGTCAAAAAAGCAAATGGGATGTTAGGAATCATTAAAAAAGGGATAGAGAATAAGACAGAGAATATCTTATTGCCTTACATAAATCCATGGTATGCCCACATCTTGAATACTGCGTACAGATGTGGTCCCCTCATCTCAAAAAAGATATACTGGCACTAGAAAAGGTTCTGAAAAGGGCAACTAAAATGATTAGGGGGTTGGAACGGGTCCCACATGAGGAGAGATTAAAGAGGCTAGGACTTTTCAGCTTGGAAAAGAGGACACTAAGGGAGGATATGATAGAGGTATATAAAAACATGAGTGGTGTGGAGAAAGTGAATAAGGAAAAGTTATTTACTTGTTCCCATAATATAAGAACTAGAGTCCACCAGATTAAATTAATGGGCAGCAGGTTTAAAACAAATAAAAGGAAGTTCTTCTTCACACAGCACACAGTGAACCTGGGGAACTCCTTGGCTGAGGAGGTTGTGAAGGCTAGGACTATAACAGGGTTTAAAACAGAACTGGATAAATTCATGGAGGTTAAGTCCATTCATGGCTATTAGCCAAGATGGGTAAGAAATGGTGTCCCTAGCCTCTGTTTGTCAGAGGGTGGAGATGGATGGCAGGAAAGAGATCACTGATCATTACCTGTTAGGTTCACTCCCTCTGGGGCACCTGGCATTGGCCACTGTCGGTAGACAGGATACTGGGCTGGATGGACCTTTGGTCTGGCCCAGTATGGCCTTTCTTATGTTCTTAATTATAAGAATGCAGTAATGCAGGACAGGCTGACCCAGCATTCTGTCCTGACCTCAAAGTAGTTTGTGCCTCCCCTTAATGGTCCTTTTACACTCCACACAATACAGACACTTTAGTCTGGGCTACATTTCCCTCTCCAGGAAAATGTCAACCTTTCCTCTCTACATCATCTTCCTCCAGGCTGATTTCCCCTTCCCGCTCTGCTGCACTGCAGGTGGTGCCCTGTCAGATGGTTAGAATACCCCATAATGCACAGCACTGTGCCAGCACTACAGACAGATGCAGCTGCTGGTGAAAACTGGGAGGAAGGGGTCTGTGACACAGGCAGGCCAGGCATGTCACAGAGAGACCTGGTATGACCATCTCTCATTCAGTGTTTCTCATAGGGGTCAGCATGCAGAAGTAAAGACTGTCCATTCTGAAAACCCTTTTCACCCACTCAGGAGCAACTCAGAATAAAAAGTCTGTGGGAGATGGAGGAATAAGGTAGCCTAGTCAGATGATGAGTGATCATTCATACTGTCAGTAACTAGACACTAATCAACTTGGAGGTTGGTAATTATCTAGCAAAATACCCTGGTGATTTGAACTGGTAACCAACTTTACCGCCTAAAATAACGTAAAATTATGTTTCAGAGGAACAGCCGTGTTAGTCTGTATTCGCAAAAAGAAAAGGAGTACTTGTGGCACCTTAGAGACTAACCAATTTATTTGAGCATGAGCTTTCGTGAGCTACAGCTCACTTCATCAGATGTATACCGTGGAAACTGCAGCAGACTTTATATACACACAGAGAATATCATAGAATCATAGAATATCAGGATTGGAAGGGACCTCAGGAGGTCATATAGTCCAACCCCCTGCTCAAAGCAGGACCAATCCCCAATTTTTGACCCAAATGGCCCCCTCAAGGATTGAACCCACAACCCTGGGTTTAGCAGGCCAATGCTCAAACCACTGAGCTATCCTCCTCCCACCCCACTGTCCTGCTGGTAATAGCTTATCTAAAGTGATCAACAGGTGGGCCATTTCCAGTACAAAACCTGGCTTTGTGCTGGAAATGGCCCACCTGTTGATCACTTTAGATAAGCTATTACCAGCAGGACAGTGGGGTGGGAGGAGGATAGCTCAGTGGTTTGAGCATTGGCCTGCTAAACCCAGGGTTGTGGGTTCAATCCTTGAGGGGGCCATTTGGGTCAAAAATTGGGGATTGGTCCTGCTTTGAGCAGGGGGTTGGACTATATGACCTCCTGAGGTCCCTTCCAATCCTGATATTCTATGATTCTATGATATTCTCTGTGTGTATATAAAGTCTGCTGCAGTTTCCACGGTATACATCTGATGAAGTAAGCTGTAGCTCACGAAAGCTCATGCTCAAATAAATTGGTTAGTCTCTAAGGTGCCACAAGTACTCCTTTTCTTTTTGTAAAATTATGTATTTATCTGTTACAAATACTCCCAGAGACTGTGATGGGGGATGCATTTTTAAAATAAAAATGAATGTTAAAATATGCATTTCATTTTAAAATAGATTTTTAAAAAGCCCTCTGAGTGTGAATAACAGTGGAACAAACTATCATAATAAAGGATACTGAAACTCCGGTCTGTGATTGCTAGGTGCCAGAGATTAATCCTGAGATCATCAGCTGACATGTATGTCTCACAGTCGCTGTTGACAGAAATTGAGTTGACATGATAGGTGTGACCATTAGCAAAGATTCTTCTGGGGGTGACTTCTACCATCAAATCCATAGGTTTCAATACAGGCACCTACAAAAATATTAAATATTAATTTTTAAAGTTATTTCTGTGTATATGTTGAGAACTCAGCATAGTGCAGGGAATGAAATATAACCCCATTTTTAATAATTTACTGTATTTCTTTCACTGCTTTATGCCTCATCAAAAACTGTCAAGTGACAAAAAGGCTATAATTTTTCTGATCCATAATAAATTAAGTCTTTGAAAACAAATGCTAGATATGCATAGACCTGCTTACATATATTATTATCGTTCTTTATTTGTATTATCATAGCACCCAGCAGCCTAATCATGGACCAGAAACCCACTGTGCTAGGCCCTGTACAAACACAGAACAAAGATGGTCCCTGCCTCAAAGAGTTTACAATTTGACTAGCTAGAATAAATTGATGGTAATTTTTTTTTACACGCTTTTCATGGAGGTTACTACACTATAAAATATTTACTGCTGAGAGAAATCAGGGATTCAAGACAATATTTTAGGACCTAAAGCTCCAATCTAGCAAATAGGACTACTCACATGAGTAAAGTTATGTATGTGCTTAAATCTTTTGCAGAAGAAGGGCCCAAGAGCATATACTTTATCAGTGAGAGAATCAACTGGACATTGGACAAAGAATTCTCACAGAGCCCAGTAGCTCACCTGTAGTGATGTTACGGTAGACAGATCTTTAAGTTTCCCTTCTTCATCTTTTAAGTTGTATCCCTCTGGTCTCTTATCTCGTTCAGTAACTTTCCATAATTTGATAGTTTTATCTTTTAAAAAAAGAAACCAGAGTTGCTATTAGCCAGGAGACTTTGAACTCTGTTACTCACCTTTAAGATAAGAAATATTACCAAAACAGAGCACTTACCTAAACTCAGTTTCACAACTCAGACCCACTTTTCTAACTGCAAAACTGCTGACTCATGAAGGTTTACTGAATTTACAAGTGACTCATCCTGTTTTTGCCTGCTAACAAAGTGAGCAGAAACTGCTCTCATAGCTCTGCTCCACACTTAATATGGGGAGTGGACCTAAACTGCTCACTGTGGAATGCACACACTTGAGAACCTATGTCCCTCCCCCATGAAAGGTACACAGCCGTGCAGCTTGGTCCAGTTTGCTGGGATATTCAGAAGCAATGCCATAGGAGTATTCGGTGGATGGGTTGTCTAGCTGATGAACGGCCTGCTGCAAGAATAGGCAGAAACTTATTATTATTAACCTTAATAACCTCACAGGCTCATGCAGAGAAAAGACCAGGGAAGGACAGAGGCTATATTTAGGAGTTCCCCCTCTCCAAGAGGGGGGCACGGACAGAAGAACAGCAGCAGGGAGATACAGAGAGAAAATTCTAAAGGAGAGGTATCACACTGGGATGGGTATGAGGCAGAGGAGTGGGGAGGAAAAAGGACACTAATGTTCTGGGAGTTGATAACCATTTCAAACCCTTCCTCTGAATGCACTGGCTGGGTGTGCATGACTTATGCTGTTCTCTAGTGGCTGGCTCCTACATAGGCTATGAGACCTACCACTTATGTCAGCTGAGGAACAATCCCTTCAGTTCAAGTGGTAGAGGCCTGTACTTTTTTTTTGAAGCTGGGGGATCATGGCTCTGATCTGAGCTTCCAGTGTGTGTGATCTAATAGTAATAGTGTCTGTTGCAGTGCCCAAATTCATTGCACCCCTACAAAGAGTACTGCTGGCGTGACAAACGTGCCAGGACGAGTATGGCAGTGTTAAAAAGAGGCAAAATCAACAACAACAAGACAGACTTTAAAGGGCATTGCCCACTCATGTAGACTGCACCATTGTTACACACCGTCCCTAAAAAGAATACAATCTGATAGGAAAAAAAGTGGTCCCATTTCATTTCTGTAGTGTGTTTAACTTTGCTTTAAAATCAATTAACCTACCTCTCCCAGAAAAGAAAACGAACTGCATTATAGCTATGATGTAGCTTACATAGAAGTTTTGATTCACCCATTAACCCTCATGCAACAAAAATCCTAACATTGAACAGTTACAGTCTATGACTTTAGTTATATCAACCTATATTTGAGCAGCTGTACCTAGTTAACATCAAATATATGTTACAATTGCAACACTTTGTGTTTCCTTTTCGCAAGTTAGTTTTCTTTGTGGCTTGTAGTCAGATTTCCTATGAAGTATGTACAGTTCAATGAAAATTCCTGTCTAACTACCATGCTATTCATAAGTTTTTAAAAATGTAATGATGCAATCAATCCAACTTTCACTTTTCACTATTAAAGCCAATACACACCATTAGAAGAAACAACATTAGATGCATCTCTTTCATGGTAGGATTTGACCTCTATTGATTAGCACATCAATTTTTGCAGGAAAACTTGCTTGTTTAATGGTTAAATAGATCATATTTGCTGATTGTCTTCTCCATGTGTATGCCCTCTGGACTCGCAACATCCTTAAATATTCAAAGAGTCAACATGCTTTGAAAAGGGACTGTCGAAATGGCATTGTGAGGTTCCATATTCATTCAGTCTCAGGAGTGTTGTGAAGTTTAAATTAATTAGTGTCTGGAAAGCAATTTGAAATCCTCAGATGAATGGCTTTGTATAGGCCAAATTCTGAGCTATTTGATGTAACTCAGTTAGAAATTGGCCCCCATAGTGCAAAGAATGATCAATGAAACACAATGATTTGTTATTATAATATCTAATTAGCTCAGTTTACAAGTCAAACTTCAATTTTGCTGACTGCAAGCACTGCTAGCCCACACTGGGACTGAAAGTCACAGTGGGGTCCTTCTGTCTCCATTAATAAAGATGCTGCAATCAGAACTTAGCTGATGATTTTGCTGTGATGTGTAAACTGGAAAGAATCCAACTCCCTCTCCCATAGCTGTGTAGCCCCTGCAGGTTTGCTGTACTGAAAATTGGTTTCTGTTAGAAGCAAATATGATGTGAAGACATGTGGGACCAAATTCAGACCTCAGATCCATGGGTGTGTCTTCCATTTAATTCAGTGGGAGCTACACATCTGTATTTGTGGGTAGAATTTGCTCTGTGGGAGAAGATCTGCTGCATAATTAGATGCTATTTTTACACACTCACTTTTCTGACCATGCTTTAGATTCTAAACATAATTTTCTAGATCTGCTTTATATTAATTTTGCTTCCAAGTACTGGATTCAGAAAAAAAATGTCTGAACAATAACCAATTGCTGTTGATCTAAGGTATTTACATGTCCCCCACTTCTGAAGTACCCAAACACCTCAGAATCATAAACGTATCTTCGCAACTCTTCTGTGAGGTAGGGAATAACATTGTCAAAGTCACACAGGAGTGGCAGAGTAGGGAACTGAAGCCAGGTCTCCTGAATTCTAGGTTGCTGACCTACCGACTAAACCATCCTCTACAAATACCATGGGCTCAGTCCTCAGTGACGCCAGTGCCAAGCAAAGAGAAACTGCCCTAAAGGGGCAGCGAAGGATTCCCCCAATACAGAGGTATCTTTGAGTGTCCAAACCACGCATATTCAGGACTATGCCACCTGTATTCCCCCCACTCTCCTCTTCACAGGAGGCATGTCAGGGTTGTGCCTGAGCTGGGAAGGGGCAGAGCAGAGCACATAATATTTTGCCGAATCTTTGGCTGGCTGAGTGTCTGGCTGCAACCAGGGTAACTTAGGGCAGCCTTGAGACAGCTCATTTCAAAACCCACCAGCAAGCCCACGATCGGGGAAGCAAGAAGGTGACTTAGAGTTTATACTAAGTTTAAACTCGGTAGAGCCGAGGACTGAGCCCCATGTATTTCCCGAGGTTTCTAAAAAAATACTTCAGAATGGAAGTAACAGGGTTTGCTTTCCAAAACAGAGAATCAACTTCTGCCTATATTAAAATAGGATTCTTTTGTTAAACTTGTTTGAATAAGGAACGATATTTGAGAATAGGGAGATGTACAGAAATGAACTTTCAAATGACATGTTTCTTTTGTGAATGATAAATTTAGCCCTTACTGTAGCTAGTTTTTAAAGATCTGTTTCATGTCAGCTGCCAAAATGAAAAGAGATAGTAAAACCATTCCACATGCATAAAGATGTGACACATTTAGGGTGACCAGATGTCCTGATATAATCAAGACCATCCCGATATTAGGGACTTTGTCTTATATACACAATTATATCTCCCTGCAAAAAAAAAAAAAAGAAAGAAAAAAAAAGTCCCAATTTTTCACGCTTGCTATGGGGGGGGATAGCTCAGTGGTTTGAGCATTAGCCTGCTAAACCCAGGGTTGTGAGTTCAATCCTTGAGGGGGCCATTTAGGGATCTGGGGCAAAAATTGGGGATTGGTCCTGCTTTGAGCAGGGGGTTGGACTAGATGACCTCCTGAGGTCCCTTCCAACCCTGATATTCTATGATTCTATGGTATATTCTGCTTTTGGATGCATCAGTGCAGCTCCCATTGGCCCTTAATAATTAATATAATACCAAGAATTGTGTATTATGTCAGGGTACACAAAAAAGGTTTATGTATTAAAAACCCAGTCCCAAGGCAAGAAGACTCAGAACCACTGATCAATTATTAGACATTAATGTTCTAATTTGTGAATATTGTTTTATTGTTGTAAACCTTGACTAGAATTAATGACCTTGCCTTAAAGAGCAGTTCTGTTCTGAAAAGCAATTGTCTAAGATGGCATTATGGTATTCCATGTTTATTATCTGTCAGTGATTTCTAAATTTGCTCAGTTTTACAAGTAAAACATTTTTTACATCAGAGTGCTGTCAACTCAACCTAGCATCTGAGAATCAAGCTGGCTTTTACCCATGTCATGCATCATCAATGGTAATGAAGGTCCTGGAAGTCAAATTATCTCCTCAGTGACACTTGTGCAACTGTATGCTTTCAGATTATTCCCACAATGACACCTTTAAAAACCCTTAGTTAGTTCTTATATGCCACTTTTCATCTGAAGAGTTCTAAATATTTTGCAAAGAAGGATCAGTATCACTAGGTTTCTATTGTGCAAACCCAAGTGTAACTGTTTGGAACTTAGTAAACAATTCTGTTGATAATGCATTAGAAGGAAATGTAATCCATCTTTCTCTCAGCTGAATTGGTTCTGAAGGGCTAACAGGAGTAAAAAGCATTAACACCCCCCCCCTTTTTTTTTAACTTAAGTCAGCAGATATAGTTCTGCATACACATACATAGCATAGTTATTGAGTACGAAGGTCCCATTTTTGCACAGTTGCTTTTCCAAACTGAACTGCATATTACTAGCAAAAGTAGATGGCTCCTTAAGTGGAGCTGAACAAATGATTTTTCTGTTTGGTCACTGAAAAATTTCACGGTTCTCCATCCCTAAATGCCTCATGAACACTCAGATAGGAATCCTCATCTGTGAACGTGAATAAAACTTACAAATAGTAAATATCAAAATCCATGTAACAATTTTTCTTAGTAGACTCTGAAACTGGAAACTATTGAAATGCAAATTTAATTTTAAATGAGATTGGGAAATAGTGGGCAAGAGAGATTAGCAGGGTTGGAATGGGCCAGAGCAGAATGTTGATACTTCCTGTACTGGTTCTTCTATCTTACCATTGGTTGACAGAAGGGAGTGAGCTGCATTCTGCTGTGGTAGCCACTTGATTTTGTTAATTTTTTCCTCTATCTCCAAACTCTTCAAATAATCAAATTCAGGCTCATGGCTCTGGAACGTGCTGTAAACATTGTACTCCCCCTGATTGTAAGGCTCATTTTTACTCTGTGAAGAACATGGAGAAAAAAAAAGTGTCTGATGATGTCAGTATTTTATCTCCAGCTTCTGAGCTGACTGAGGTAAAAGCCAGTAGCCATCATAAATATAACAATCCTAGAAAATATTTTATTTTAAGTTTAAAACATGCTGTTGACAGATTGCTTTACTGTGACAAATACAATAGTTTTTCATGGGCATTAAAATGAGGTTCAATACCCAGACAAAAGCCTTTGTTAAGATCATTAGGAATGCAAAAGAGAAATTACTTCAGTAAAAATCTTAGTAAAATGTTGTGGTTATTAAAAAATTGCATGTGACAATCTGGGAATTCAGAATTTAATTTTCACAAGCAGCCTTAGCTCTGATCATTCCCTGCATTCCTGGAAATGTTTAGCCACACCCCGTAATTTATCTGCGTTCCATTTCTATGTGCCCCAGGATAATATCCATACTTCCCCATACTAATGTACAAACTACATTCTTCCAGCGAGGAGCTACAGACCCTCCTCCAATCCATCCTCCTTTTATCAGCCTACTGTACACTCCTTACTTCTCATCGTTCCTGTACAAACCAAAGAAAGAGCTGTCCTCTCCCCTCGCAGGTCCCCATTACAGGACAGTCACAACACCTTCACAGTCCTTCCGCAACATAGAAGGTCTGATTCTCATGAACACTCTCTGGCAGTGTAAGGGGACTGTAAAGTGGGTGTAAAATAGGTGAGAATCACGCCAAGATTCACCAGCCAACTTTCACTATCTACCTGATAAGCCACCAAGCAAAGCCACCAAATACAAATCTGTCCAATCCATCCTGTCTCTACAGAGTACACAGACTGCAATTCTCCCCCTCAGTGTGCATCTGAGACTGAAGTACTCATATATAACCAAGTCTTCTGGCTAACCCCCTCCACTGGCCAAATACTGGTTGAGATGACAGTGCACATCATTCTCCAGAATAAAACTGGGCAGGGTCTGACACTACTTATTCAATAGTTATGATACAAGGGAAGGTGAACAGAATTTGAAAAGGAAGAGCAAAAGATATCATAGGAGGGATGTTATAGACTGTGTGGTGTGGTTGCTACTAAATGCAGAGCTAAGCTTGTTCATGGAACCTTAACTGAATTTCAGACTAAACAAGAGACAAAAAACAAAAACAGCTTTTCCTTAACTTAGAATTTCTGTGCTTCAATTGTTGGCCTTGGATAGCAACTAGGAATAGCAGGGAAATTCAGAATTAAGACTCTTATCTTCCTTTATTCACCTAATTGAACCTAAATATTACAGGCTGAAAGAATAACATACTTTTGAATGAGACTCTTTTCTGAGGCCCCTTTGTCACACAATCCCTATGGCAAAACACCTTGGGTGATGACATTCTGGTCCCACTTTGCCCTTGACTTCAACAGGGCAAGGATTTCACCCTGTTTTCTCAGCCAAGATCTGTGATCTCCACAATAGAGCAATTAACAGAATGCTCCATGGGTGACACTTACCTCCCACCCTTCTCAAAATAAGTAACATTCCATTTTTGTTATTCTTGATAGCATTCAAAAAATCTATTAGATCTCAGCAGTGTAAAAAAAAAGCTTAGCAAGCAATTACGATGGGAAGCAGTAACAAACATACCTCAGGTTCCCTTTGGAATATAACAACCCGACCTCCCTTGTCCCCAGTAGCCAGTAGTTCTCCAGTGTGATTGAACTCAACTGTAGAAATAATATCAGCTGTAAGGAAAAAGTGAGAAAAGGCAAACCATTAGAAATGTCAAAGGCTCCATAAAAATACAGGAAATTAGGGACTCAAAAGATATATAGAGGAATGCAATAGCAAGCTACCCATTTAAAAGTCAGCCTGCCATTAAAATCTGACAACTGAAACAACTGTAGACTTCTAGAGGCGAGATCATGATTTAAGGCACTGCCTGCATTTTGAGAGTAGAGGGGTTATGCACCAGGAAGAGCACAATGTCGCTAGCAATGCAGAGGTAGCACATAGAGTCTCTTGCTACAGACTCAGCTCTGTGTCACAAATTATATTCCTCACCCTCTATGAGGCTTTTAGCACTCCTGGAAGCACTGGAATCCACCTGTCCTCATGTGCAAGGAGTGCAAGTGCCTAGTCCCTCCACAGAGGCAAAAATTCAGCACCGAGTCTCCTTATGTCCTTTGCACGCTGTGCATTACAAGACATGGTCTGTTCCAGGGCAGAGTTTTTGGAAGATCATTTCAACACCATAAAAACATATCATGAGAAATGTTTAAAACAGCCGTTTTGGTTTGTTTTTTTAAATATAGAACCCCAGAACAATTTTCTGAGGTGACGTGAATGTCATCAAAACTGCAGCCCAGCCAATTTTACAAAACACTGTAGAGCTGAAATAAAAGGGGAGAAAAAGAGCTAGAAGGCAGGAAGAACAAATTATTTCACTTGCATGAAAATAAATGTTAGAATCATAATCTGCAGTTAATCCTCACTATTAGCATAATTTAAATTAAAATGCCTAGTGTGATGGTAAATTAGGGATCCATCCTATATACCAAGTTATAGTCAAACATATAGGATATTACCCACATACACGTTTCGGTTTACTATAATTATCAACCCTCAGTGATATGGGACAGATTTTTAAGAAGTGCTTAGCACTCAACAGCTCCCATTTAGGCACCTAAAGGAATAGCCAGATTTTCAAATCAGCTCAGCATCCATCAGTTCACATTGAGAACAGTGGGAGTTAGTGACAGCTGAGCCCTATTGAAAATCTGACCCCCAAAACAGCCCCCCAACCTGAAGCAAATACTCACCAGCAACCACACACCACACAACAAAAACACTAACCCAGGAACCTATCCTTGCAACATAGCTTGTTGCCAACTGTGTCCACATATCTATTCAGGGGACACCACCATAGGGCCTAATCACATCAGCCACAATATCAGAGGCTCGTTCACCTGCACATCTACCAATATAATATATGCCATCATGTGCCAGCAATGCCCCTCTGCCATGTACATTGGCCAAACCGGACAGTCTTTACGTAAAAGAATAAATGGACACAAATCAGACGTCAAGAATTATAACATTCAAAAACCAGTCGGAGAACACTTCAATCTCTCTGGTCACTTGATTACAGACCTAAAAGTCGCAATATAACAACAAAATACTTCAAAAACAGTATTCAGCAGTCTCTCTCCAATGAGAGACTGCTGAATTGGAATTAATTTGCAAACTGTACTCCATTAACTTAGGCTTGAATAAAGACTGGGAGTGGATCATAGAATCATAGAATCATAGCATATCACAGTTGGAAGGGACCTCAGGAGGTCATCTAGTCCAACCCCCTGCTCCAAGCAGGACCGATCCACGACTAAATCATCCCACCCAGGGCTTTGTCAAGCCTGACCTTAAAACCTTCTATGGAAGGAGATTCCACCACCTCCCTAGGTAACGCATTCCAGTGTTTCACCACCCTCCTAGTGAAAAAGTTTTTCCTAATATCCAACCTAAATCTCTCCCACTGCAACTTGAGACCATTACTCCTCGTTCTGTCATCTGCTATCACTGAGAATAGTCTAGATCCATCCTCTTTGGAACCCCCTTTCAGGTAGTTGAAAGCAGCTATCAAATCCCCCCTCATTCTTCTCTTCTGAAGACTAAACATCCCCAGTTCCCTCAGCCGCTCCTCATAAGTCATGTGTTCCAGTCCCCTAATCATTTTTGTTGCCCTCCACTGGACTCTTTCCAATTTTTCCACATCCTTCTTGTAGTGTGGGGTCCAAAACTGGACACAGTACTCCAGATGAGGCCTCACCAATGTCGAATAGAGGGGAATGATCACGTCCCTCGATCTGCTGGCAATGCCCCTACTTATACATCCCAAAATGCCATTGGCCTTCTTGGCAACAAGGGCACACTGTTGACTCATATCCAACTTCTCGTCCACTGTAACCCTGAGGTCCTTTTCTACAGAGCTCCTGCCGAGCCATTCGGTCCCTAGTCTGTAGCGGTGCATTGGATTCTTCCGTCCGAAGTGCAGGACTCTGCACTTGTCCTTGTTGAACCTCATCAGATTTCTTTTGGCCCAATCCTCCAATTTGTCTAGGGCCCTCTGTATCCTATCCCTACCCTCCAGCATATCTACCACTCCTCCCAGTTTAGTGTCATCTGCAAACTTGCTGAGGGTGCAATCCACACCATCCTCCAGATCATTTATGAAGATATTGAACAAAACCGGCCCGAGGACCGACCCGGGGCACTTCACTTGATACCGGCTGCCAACTAGACATGGAGCCATTGATCTTTACCTGTTGAGCCCGACAATCTAGCCAGCTTTCTATCCACCTTATAGTCCATTCATCCAGCCCATACTTCTTTAACTTGCTGGCAAAAGTACTGTGGGAGACCGTGTCAAAAGCTTTGCTAAAGTCAAGGAACAACACGTCCACTGCTTTCCCCTCATCCACAGAGCCAGTTATCTCATCATAGAAACCTCCCCCGATCACCATGAGTTTTCAAAGATAATGGCCAATGGCTCTACAATCACATCCGCCAACTCTTTTAGCACTCTCGGATGCAACACATCCGGCCCCATGGATGTGTCATTACACAAAGTAAAACTACTTCCCTATGTTTATTTTTCCCACCTACTGTTCCTCACAAGTTCTTGTCAACTGCTGGAAATGGCCCATCTTGATTATCATTACAAAAAGTTTTTTTTCTCTCCCGCTGGTAATAGCTCACCTTAACTGATCGCTCTCGTTATAGTGTGTATGGTAACTCCGATTGTTTCATCTTCTCTGTGTATATAAAATTGTTCTACTGTATTTTCCACTGCATGCATCCGTTGAAGTGGGCTGTAGCCCACAAAAGCTTTTGCTCAAATAAATTTGTTAGTCTCCAAGGTGCCACAAGTACTCCTGTTCTTTTTGCGGATACAGACTAACACGTTTGCTACTCTGTAACTAGGATATGTAACCAGCTCTTTTGAAAATCTGACCTTAAAGATATTCACTAAAATTCAAAAGTATCTAAATGAGAAGTAGAAGTTACATTTATTTGATGCACTTTATGAATTAAAAACATCTGTTCCCATTATTCTTTTACTAATCCAGCCCCGAATTTCAGAAAGCCTCTACTGCCAGTAGCTTTCCCTGTGAGCTACCAAAAGCTAGGGGAAGGTCAGGGGAGGTATACCATTACTAATGTAAAAAGAAAACCTTGTCCTATTACTGAGAAACAGAAAGTTTATTTAAAAATAAACACTAAATATAGGATTTTTGAAAACAGGATATATGATAGGCTCTAATATGATCTTTCCACTTGAGTGGATGTATGTATGTGTCAGTATTTCATAGACTTCAGGATGGGACCACAAGTGTATCACTTATCTTCAGTTGTATAAAATGTGTGGCTACTCACTAATCCTGGGAGGAGTCGAAAGGGCAGGGAATTAATTGTATTCCATTAATATGGGAATCTGTGTAGGAAAAATATCCTTAGGCCAAGAAGTAGAGAACTCTAAGTGTGTCTAATGTGCTTCCTAAAACTAAGGGCAAAATGCTGCCAATGCTGGAACATTTTCAATGTAAGAATCTGTCTGGGAAATGAAAGGGCTCAGCAGAATCCACTGCTTCTGCTGGATGCATTATGTCCTCTGCACAGTGCTGAAAGTGCGCCAGGCTGCAATAGGTTGTAGACCCAGGAAATAAAATCTGTACAACTCAAGTTGCACATGAGTCAACAATGTGCCCTTATGAGTCCACAGTGTGCCCTTGTTGCCAAGAAGGCTAACGGGATATTGGGCTGCATTAGTAGGAGCACTGTCAGCAGATCAAGGGAAGTGATTATTCCCTTCTATTCGGCACTGGTGAGGCCACATCTGGATATTGTGTCCAATTTTGGGCCCCCTACAGAAAGGATGTGGACAAATTGGAGAGAGTCCAGCGGAGGACAACAAAAATGATTAGGGGGCTGGAGCACATGGCTTATGAGGAGAGGCTGAGGGAACTGGGCTTATTTAGTCTACAGAAGAGTGAGGGGGGATTTGACAGCAGCCTTCAACTACCTGAAGGGGGGGATTCCAAAGAGGATGGAGCTAGGCTGTTCTCAGTTGTGGCAGATGACAGAAGTAGCAGCAATGGACTCAAGTTGAAGTGGCAGAGGTCTAGGTTGGATATTAGGAAAAACTATTTCACTAGGAGGGTGGTGAAGCACTGGAATGGGTTACCTAGGAGGTAGTGGAATCTCCATCCTAGAGGTTTTTAAGGCCCAGCTTGACAAAGCCCTGGCTGGGATGATTTAGTTGGTGTTGGTCCTGCTCTGAACAGGGGATTGGACTAGGTGACCTCCTGAGGTCTCTTCCAACCCTAATCTTCTATGATTCAAGCCAGGTCACTGAGAGTGCATTCGCTTACCTCCTGGGCCATAGCAGCCATCAAGTCTGCTCCAGGAAGCACGCAGAGCTCTCCCCCTCCACACCTCAGGAGCCAAATCTGTTCTTATGAGAGAGGATGGAGAGCAACAAGAGCCCAGCAGATCAGAGCGGCTCCACTTCCTCCTCCCCACCCTCTTCTGTGAGCAACATGTCAACTCCTTTGCTTCTCTCCCCCTCCAGCAACTCCTTGGGAAGAGGGGAGGAGGAAAGAAGAATCCCTGGAGTTACTCCGCCCAGTCTGTAAGGTGGGAGGGGACCCTGTTACAGCCTCCCCCACAGGCCTGGGAGAGGATG